GGGGAGCTGCAAAATTTATGTTGCCAACACACTCCACTAAGCTCGATCTCCCACCAACCCAAATGAAATACGTCGAAATATTGGAGGAAGGACTCTTGCCACTTTATTCGTTGGGTTTCGTGGACAAGAACACAACGTTGTTCCAGGAAGATGGAGCACCGTGTCACACTGGTAGAAACACCCAAAATTGGCCATACTCGACCGGCAAGTCAAGAAACAACCCAAAAAACCAACTTCGAAGAACACAACGTTGTTCCAGGAAGATGGAGCACCGTGTCACACTGGTAGAAACACCCAAAATTGGCCATACTCGACCGGCAAGTCAAGAAACAACCCAAAAAACCAACTTCGAAGAACGATCTACTCCAAGTTTTTGAAGCAAGAGTGGCCGAAAATCCCACAATCTAAAATTGACGAGATGGTGGTCACAAGTAAATAGACACCACCTTTTCAGAAAAAATGAAAATTTTCAGTCATATTCACATGAATTGATATATTTATAATTTAATTAATATCTAGTAGATCTTCCTTTCGCTTCGTGGAGTTCGTTGATCCTTTGGGGCATCGTGAGAATGCTGTGTATATCACTTAATAACAAACAAATAGAAGTTAAAAATACTAAACTGTACATGTAAGTTTTGTAGCAACTCAATTTGGAGGTGAAGTAATATTTTTTTTTATCAATATAGGATGTAAAGAACATATCCAGATTATTACCTTTCAACTTCCTTTCATATTTTTTTTTCCAGAAAATAGTTCTCTTTTTTGGGATGGTCTTAACATCAGTACATATTTACATAGGGACAAAAGTCAGATTTAAGGTTTTCCACATTTATGTCATACTAATGTAAAAAATTAAAAAAAAAGTTTAACACTTTTGCAAAACTGTAGTTTTAAAGTCACCAAACACTTTATATGTTCTTCAAATATGAGTTTTTAAAATTTAAATAGCTAAGTGACTAAGTAACCAATACCTCACAATGGCATTCTTGGATCATATTGGTCTCTTTCATAAATACTGTAGTAGAAAAAAGGGTTAACATGTAGCATTAAAAATTTTATATACACAAATTTACTTAAATCTGTCATGCAACAGAAATAAATTCCAGTAGCATTATTAAAACTTTCAGTTGCTACCATTTTTATCAAATGTATGAAGTGTTATTGCACTCAATACAAAGCAGTACGTTCTTACTTTTATAACTCACACAAATCAGACTAAAATAAGACAAATAAATGTATTATATAATTCCAAGAAAAAAATAGTTTTCCATAACATTTAGGTTATTACTATTTTAACATTAAAATACAAAATTAGTTATAAAATTTGTACTTTCAAGAACTTTCTTTAAAACAAATTACAATAATTGATACAACTTGGCTTAATTTAAAAACAAAAAACATATTCCTTGGCAAAAAGACTAAACATTTTTAGCCCACAAGTGGCTTGAGACAGCAAAGAATTATAAAAATAAGAGGCCACTTAACAAAGAATTGGGCTAAAAGTGGCACATCAGAGAAGTACAGAAGACCACTCAATAAGAAGTTGGGCCAAAAATAACATATCACAGGAAAGTGAAGATAAATAACCACTTATTGATAAGATGGCTAAACACAGCTCAGCACAGAAAATATGACCACTTACTAGAGAGCTGGGTTAAAAACAGCTTAACACATGAAAGTAGAAATGACCACTTAATCTACAAACAGCTTAATATATATGGAATCAAAGATGAACAGCTATGCTAGAAATAGCTGAACACAAAGAATTAATGCTGCAATGTGAAGATGTTAAATGTGTTGGATACTACATGCTGTTTACACATTAACATGGTATTCTCATCTAAAACCTATATGTTTTTTTTAAATAAATTGTTACTGAAGTCAGGTAATTTTAAACAAGTGGTGATTTTAACAATAGAATTGTATCACTTCCATAAATCTAATATTTAATGACATTTCCAACTTCTCCATGATTTACTTCATTATTCAAAGCATGTGAAATAAAAGACTGGAATTCCAAATGCTGAGAAAAAAAAAGCTTGTGAAAAAATATATTATAGTACATATATAAATCAATTGATTAAACTTAAAATAAAATGGGACTGGAAGAACGCTCAGAACAAACAAGGTTTTCGGCAAAATTGTACGTATTTGGTCTTTCAAGACTAGGTGAAATATGGTCTTTAGACAAGGGCTGATGCTGTAAGCTTGTTCTGTCAAGGGCTAAAGATGATTTATTACTTCTTGCAATAGTAAATTCACTTAGTGATTCCATCACATCTTGAAAAGTCTTGTAGTGCTTGACCTCATTCCGCACCCACTTAGATAGAGCTACAATTAAAAATACATATATTGTGGTGAAGTTCTATTCAAATGTACAAAGAAATAAAAAACATGATTTATTAAAACAGTATAAGACATGACCTACACTGATGCTGAAGTAAACCATATTGTAATGCTTTTTGACCCACAGTACAAGACATGATCTATAGTGACCTTGATCCTGATGTAAACCATATTAGTACGAAAAAGTACGAAATTAAACGTAAAAATACTCTATACAATTGTTATTGCTCAAACAAACCATAATTTTTATAGCCTTCAAATTTGTTTGGTTACAGAGCTATCAAATAGAAAATCAGACCCCTCTTGCCACATCCTTTCTTTCACAATTTGTTGATGGTTCTCTCTTACGTTTCATTATATATTATCTATAACCAATAGAAAGCCAAGGTTTTTATCTATCAAATGACGTATTGTATAATGTTATGTTCTGAACAGATAATTATTAATTTCACTCATAGTACAAGTTCCGTTCCCTTGGGAAAGCTAATGACTAGCTTGG